CCTCGGTGTGTAGGTCGTTGATATCGCCTTGAATTCGTCAACGCCTTTGCCTAGTTGTTTGGCGACAGGCTCCAGTCGTTCGTTGTCCAGTGGGCGGTGATTGACCTACGGAAGCCTGTTGACAGTGGGACGGTCTTGTAGTGGTGTGACGAGGCCTGACACTATTTTCTTGTCGTAGTACGAAGCGAACCTGGAGAAGCCAAGGACGTCGGTGCGGCACCTGAAACACCGTGTGAGAAATACTGTGGCAGGGCTGTCCACGTCCAGTGACTCTTGAATTTTCCAGAAAAGTGGAAACTTGTAGCCCCAAAAATTGTGCGCACCGGGTCTGTACTGTTGGCGGAAGCTGCTTGGGATCGCCCGCGAAAACGATGTGGGCGCCAGTGTCGACCATGAGGCCGATGGAGATGGCAACAAAGACCTCGTTGGCCTGGCCCGCCTCGTCGTCGCTGGTGGGGATGCGCGAAGCATCAAGAATATCAAAAAGAGGAGCTCCTGCGACACTGAAATACTGGATACTGGGATACTGGATACTGGGTCGAAGAGGGAGAGGAGGAGGCGGAGGAGGATTGGAGGACGGGAGGAAAAGAGGAGGAGAAGAGGAGGAACAGACGGGCGAAGGAGGCAGATACGACGAATAGCTCCCAGCCGCGGGGAGGGGAGGTAGGAGCAGGACCAGGGGCCTGTGTACTTTCGGGGCCCAACTCGGGCCTTGGGCGGCCGTTCGGAACGATTCTGGCACGCCCGGCACGCTCTCGACGAGATGGAAACCGCCCTGGCCAAAACCCCTAAAGGCCCTCCCTTGGGAACCGATATTCCCCGATGCCGCTGCCCCCGATACATCTCCCGAGGTGCGTCCTGACCAAAGTTGCCAGACGTACCCAACCGGCGCGACGAGGGCCTCCCAAGAGGCCCAACAGGGCGAGAACGAGGGCAGGGCAGCGGAATCCGCACCGCGCCCCCTAAAGGCGCCCCTGGGTTTTCGGTTCAGAACGCGGCTGCGCGGCGGCCGTTCGGACGAGTCCGGCACACCAGAGCGCCCTCGACGAGGCGCAGCGGGGGTCTGACCCGGGTCGGCGCAAACACCCTGCAATATCCTGCAGGATCCTGCGCGCTCGCAGTCCTCCAAGTCCGGCGATTTGGCGGACCCCGTTTGACCTGCGTCTCAGGGCTCCCGAGCGCAGCTCATGACACCCACCCTGGGCCTAGAAAACTTCCGAAACAGGAGGAGGAGGAGGAGGAGGGGGGGGGAGGAGGAGGGAAGAGGAGCAGGAGGAGGAGGAGGAGGAGGAGGAGGAGGGGGAGGAGGAGGATGATGATGAGGAGGAGGGGGGAGGAGGAGGGGGCGGAGGGAGGAGGAGGAGCAAAAGGATGATGCCCACGACATGGAGGCGGCCAGTCGCGCAGGCCGCCACCGCCCGCCGGGCACAGGCGCGGCGCCCTCGGCCTCAAATGACCAAGCGCATGGGGTACACACCGAGGAACACGACGTTGCGCGGAGGGATGGGGAGGCGGCGCCCGAAACGTACGCGGCCCAGGGACCCTACAGAATCCCGCGTCCGCCACCCCGCGCCGCCCCGGAGCGCCGGCCGGCAGCGCGCGGCGGCTCGCCGTCGATGTTCTCCCACGCTACCGCGAGGCGGGAGTTGTCCGCAACGACCTCCAGCAGCTCCGCGGGGTCCTGCGGCAGCGACACCGCCACGGAGAAACCGAGGCGGCGGGAGAGCTCCGTGAAGCGCCCGCGGGCCTCCACCAGCTCCGCCTCCGAGGGGGCAACCGCCGCCGCGGCCGCCACAGGCGCCAGCGCAGCGTCGGCCCACTCGCCGCCACGGGGGGGCCCGACCGCCACGGCAGGCCGCCCACCGTCAGCCCACGCATCGTCGATCAGGTCCTCGTCCATCTCGTCGTCGCCGTCGGAGGGGGCCCGAAGCGCCGCCCCAGGCGCCTGCGCGAGCACAAGGCCCGCGCGCGCTCCGCCAGCGGCCGCCGTCGCGTCCACCTCCACGGCGAGGGGGGGAACTGCGCCCACTCCAGGGCGACCAGCTTCAGCAGCCAGGCTCCGCGCCACGCGCCTCCGCCCGGCGCGCCGAGAGGCGCTGGCGGCGGCGACGGCGGCGCTCCGCCTTGGCGGCCGAACTGGCATACTGGGGTGCGTCAGCCTGCTCGGCACCCTCGGAGCGGGCGACGGGCGGCGTCGCCGTCGGCGCGGTCCGCGCCCGAAGCGCGACCGCCGCAACAGCACTCGCCACCGCAACCACCGTGCGCCGCGGCGCCTTGGCCTCCACGGCCGCGGTCACGGCGGCCGCCAGCAAGGCGACGCCGTCCTCCGCAGCCGTCGGGGCCCCTCTAGGCCGTGCCATCCCGCGCGCGCGGGCGGCCACGGCCAGTGCGATCGCTTGAGCCAAATGGCTTGAGCCAAACTGGCTTGAGCCCAAATGGCTGCGGAGGAGGAGGAGGAGGAGGAGGAGGAGGAGGAGGAGGAGGAGGAGGATGGGGGGGGCGACCGCCTCCAGCTGCTCCGTCCCGTAGACGCTGTACGCCTTCTGCATCTCCGCCTGGCGTCGGCCGGGGGCCGAGCGGCGCGGCGGCCGGAGGCCCTCGGGGGCCATCAGGCTGGGGCCCTTCTTGGGCCCCAATGGCCCCTCTAGGGCCTCTGAGATGCCTTGGCCTTCTCCTTCTCCTCCCTTCTCCTCCTCCCTTTTCCTCCTCCTCCTCCTCCTTCTCCTCCTCCTCCTCCTCCTCCACCTCCTCCTCCTGTTCCTCCTCGTGTTCCTCCCTCCTCGTCCTCCACGTCCTCCTCCTCCTCCTCCTCCTCCTCCTCCTCCTCCTCCTCCTCCTCATCGGCCTTCATTCATTCATTCATTCATTCATTCATTCATTCATTCATTCATTCATTCATTCATTCAAGGGCCATTAGGAGGTCAGCCAAACCATGTTCGCCTGACCTCAGCACAAACGGGGCCAAGGCCGCTTTTGGGCCAGGCCCCACACCCACGAGCCCAGCCCTGGGGCATTGCAGAGGGTTCTAGGGGCTCGAGGGGTAATCCGCAGGCCGCCCCTTAGGGGCGCCCCACCCCGCCCGACGATCCCCTCAGCGCCCAGAGAGCAGGGCGAAGGAGGGGTGCGGGCAGGGGGGGCACGGCCTCAAAGAAACTGAGGCAACTGGTCACCTCCTCCAAAATACAAAATCAAAATACCGAGCCTTCGCCCACCCACACAAGGACGGCACGGCCTGCCACCCCAGGCGCAGACAGCGCCAGGACGGTTGCAGGCCATGCCCCAGATGTGGGGTTGCGCACGGATGCCTGCCCCTAAGGTCAGTCGCATCGGGCCGTACTCACAAGGCTGGTGATCCAAGACGCCCTGAACCCTGACGGGGGCTCCAAGGGCTCAAAGGAAATCCGCAGGCCGAATCCCCGTAGGGCGCCCCCGTTCCCGCTCAACGATCCCCCTTGGCCCAATCGGGCGACGGGAAGGGTGCGGGCGGGGGGGCACGGCCAAGGCTGAAATCCGCCGATCCGGCGTGTGAGTTTCAAGGAGTCTCAGCTACAGCCTCGAGGCTGAGCCTCAGCCTCTGGGGGGGTTGCCAGGGTGGCTCTGCCGGGGAAGGGGGGGTGGGGGTGGGTGGGGGGGGTGCGAGTTTCCGGCGGATGCGTTTTTTGACACCCCTCACAAGGATCGTGGCCTCCGAGGGGGTTCGGAACTCGAGTACCACCCCTCCCGCACCAAGAGGCTCCGAGGAGGCCTCCAAGAGGCCGCAAGGGGCGCAGAAGAGGCCCCCAAAAAGCCCCAAGAGGCTCCCAAGAGACCCCCAAGAGGCCCTCTAGTGGCCCCAAGAGGCCCAAGAGGCCCCCAAGAAGCCCCAAGACGCGCCCAAGAGGCCCCCAGAAGTCCCAGCCAACCACGAGATCCCAACCAGCATCCATGAGGCCTCTGACCCACCACCCACGCACGGTGGCGGGATAGGCCGACGGCCACTGGATAAATGCTGAGTGAGAGGAGGGGAGGGAAAAAGAGACGAGGGACGAGGGCGAAGAAGGATCACATCAGTCGGAGCGCCCCGGATCGGCGGCACTGGCCGAAGGCCACTACAATAAAAGATCGGCACATAAACTCCAGAGCAGAATGCAAATAAATCACAAACATAATCAGGATAATATTCGACCACCCACACAAGGACGACGCGGCCCACCACCCCACGTGCAGGCAGCGCCTGGACGGTGGCAAGCCACGCCCCAAATGTGGGGTATGCGCACGGATGCCTGCCCTGAGGGTCAGCCGCATCGGGCCGTGCGCAAGAATGGTAATTAAGATAAAGAGACACGACAAGTCTGGGCAAACTTATATTGTGGCATCCCGCATGCCATCTACCTGGTCATGTCACCACTCCGCAGGGCTGTGGAGGACAAGCCAGGGGCGGCTCAAGCGGGTGCCTTTAGGCCACGGGAGCCTCCCGCGACGGTCCTCCTCGTCCTCCTCCTCCTCCTCCTCCTCCTCCTCCTCCTCCTCCTCCTCCTCCTCCCTCCTCCTCCTCCGACTCCTCCTCCTCCTCCTCTTCTTCCTCCTCCTCCTCCTCGTGTAGCATCCCCTTCCGGTTTTGGACCGGAGGCACCCTGGCGCCCCGGATTGGCCGAAACCCCAACGGCGGCAGAAAACCAAGCCCGTGGCACAGGAGCCCAGGGTCGGCAGCCTGCGGCCAGGGAGAGGCCAGATAGGCGTGCAAAGAACACTATACAGAATACCTCCCATGCAACAGAGCGACGAAGGAGAGGCGAGCGGAGAACGAGGGGGGAGGGAGGGAAGGAGGAAAAGAAAGGGAAAACAGGAAAAACAGCAGCCAGTGCACACCGGGTGGGCAAGGAAGGAAAAACAACATATTGCGCTCACTGCCTCACTATTCCCCGCCGAACCGCTCCCCGTCGTGCTGGGCGTAGTGGTGCCGCTGGTATCCGTCGTATTCGTCATACTCATGGTGCTGCCCTCGGTCGTATTACTCTCAGTTATGCTGTTCTCTCGTGCTCGTCGTCCTCGTCGTACTCGTACTCGTCGTACTCGTGGTGCTGCTCTCGGTCGTACTGCTCGCCAACAAGCTGGACGTAGTGGTGCCGCTGGTTCCTGTCGTACCCGTCATGCTCGGGGTGCTGCCTTCGGTCGTACTCCTCGCCGACGTGCATCTGGCGCTGCACGGAGTGTGTGCCGTAAGATGGAGCCGAATGCATGCGACTGCCTTGCGCATCCTTCATCCTCTCCACGATGCACTTGTACAGCAGGTGTGAGAACGCCACGCTCCAGAAAAGCGACAGCAAGAACTCCATGATCTTTATCTTGTGGTTCCGCCTATGCATGTCCGCACTGACGTCAGGTAGCCTGCAGTAGAGGACGGCCACGATGGGATACGCGATCACGTAGAAGTTAACCATCCAGAACATTGCTTTGCTCATCACAACGCACTTGAGATTCTCCTCCTCTGGATGCGCGGCCATTGGCGGAACGAGGGGCTCTGGGAACGTGCCATCGCCCTGCTTCACCCTCGGTGTCACACCGAAGAAGAAGTCACTGCACGCGAACCAGAGCCCAAACATGAACAATGCGACACAGACAGGTAACAGGTTTACATCTCCCATTGCAATTATCATAACACCTGAGACCACATTGAAGCAAAGTTGAAAAAAAATGCAACACGGCTGCCAGTGCCTCTCAGATTGTGAACCATGCCAACCCTTTTTCAAGCGTGCCGCCAGGGCAAGGTTATTGGCGTTCTCCCCCCCCCCCGGCTTGTCCACAACCATAATGAGAACCATAAGAACCACTGAAGAAAGAGTAGTGACTATATTGACATACGCAAACAGGCGAGTCAGGTATGGCGAGACAATTGTGTTTACAAATGTCTGTTTGAGCAGCTGTGGTTGTCCACCGTTGCGCACGTATCCTTCCAATGCCTGAGCGTAGGCCTGGCAGTTGTCAGAATAGACGATATAAGATTGGTGCGCCTGCAAGTATGAACAAACGAATCTCCTAATGTCGTCCACTTTGACTCCGCTGCGAACCCCCTGTACCTCGACTCTGTTCACGGAGCCAGGGGAGCGGATCATGAATGTAGTCCAGCCCCAGCACCATTCAGACGGCACGAACGCGACACACACATTCATAAGGAAGTATAACGACACGGGCACGAGACCAGCCATCTGCAGCCACATGTTCGATGAACGCCGAAACCATGATCTTGTGGCCATTATCGCCAAGAGAAACGAGACGACAGTGACGTAACACTTGCCACCAAGAGTTCGGACGGGAATGTGGATCGCATCTTGATCATCATCCACTAGGTCGCAGTGGATCACAGCAGGACTTCCTCCAAAAAAATCGTCGCCTATTTTGTTCAGATCGGTCTGAATATTGACTTGGAAGTGAGGGTTAACTGGAATTCAGGCGACTTCAAGTTCAGCCTGGAATATTGACTTCGAAGTGAGGTCAACCTGGAATTGAACTCGCCAGTGGTGGAAGTCCGTCACAAAGGGTATGACCTCTTGTATTATCCAGACTCGGGTGACCTCTGCCCCCCAAAGTGCGTGACAGCCGCGGGACCAACGTAAGTCCTCCGCGCCCCTCATGCCGTTGGCTGCACAATCGGTGCAGCCATCGCCGAACACCTGCCAGCCGAGGCACGGGTCGTTGGACGGGTTCCGAGCGCAGTAGCCCTCTCCGTGAGACGCGTGGACGTACGCCTGCAGGTCGACGCTGGCCTTGGTGCCGTCCGTCAGGCCGCACGTCCACCCGCAGTCCTCTCCCTCCCAGCACGACTTGCACGAGGCAGTCCCGGCGTACTGGCCCTGCCACTGCTGCGGGCACACGCTGCCCTTGATGTCCAAGCCGTCCCAGAAGGCGCAGCTTCGCTGCGCGTCGGTGGACGATCCACGCAGGCTCGGCGCGGGAGTGCTGGCAGCTCCAACCGCAAAGGTGCGGCTGCCAAGGCTACGGCTGGCGGTGCTGTTCGCGACATTGTTGATCCCATCGATGTCGCCAGTCGCGCTGCCACGCGCAAGGCTGGCCAGCAGCCACGACATCGCAAGCGGAGCGTAAAGTAGATGGACAAGTCCGCGCGACGGCGAGCGGCGCTACCATGCCTCCCGCCACGCCCAAACGCAGAGACCACGAATGCGGGAACCCTGGGCCAAACTTGAGCCAACCTACGCCTTGGTCTGTGGTCCTTGCTGGCCGTCGCCGACTCGCGGGGGCGACCCACGGATCGACGGTGACCAAGATTGATGGTGACCCGGATCGGCACTGCCGTTTCCGCGCTCTCAGTCTTGGTTTTGGCCCCCGTTTTCTTCCTCTCCAGAGACACCAACACCGCTCCCGTAGACGCGTTGAGCTGGATCCCAAGGCCCAAGCGGACGACAGCCACGGAAGGTCATGGGTATCGGTACGTTTAGGCTGGATACTCGTTCTAGGGCCCTTCCTGGAGCCACTCGCTCCACTCGTGCGTCGATACCGGGTCGAACGTCCGTCACCCTGGGTCGAACTTCAGTCGAGCTGGAGTCGAGCTGAGGTCGACCTGGAGTCGAGCTGGAACCGAAGTGGATTCGAGCTGGAGCCTAACCGATCCGTCAGGTGGCCCCCAGGGAGGCCCCCAGGACGAGCACGTTGAGAGAACGGTGCACATGCACCGCACCATGTCGGGCCCCCTTCCAGGCCCTGCCATATGCGGTACGGTGCATACTCCAGATTTCGTAATAAAAGGGAGGGTGTCTGGACCCTCCACGAATGATGGCCCAACAATATGTCAAGACGGACAGGGAGGACGAGGGAAGAAACAACACACGGAGGAGCAATAATAAGAGGATGTAACAATCTCGGAGCTCCAGATCTCGTCCGTCGTGGAAAAGACTGTCTGCGTCGCTAGCGTGTAGAAGTCTAGGACGAAGTAGTCGGACTTCAGTCTTCAGGCTGCAGCTTGTGCCAAGCTACGGCGAAAGAGGAGCCTGGCTTCACCTCGCATCCAAAAAGGGGTTATGATGTTCTCAGAACTTCCCCACGCAGGGAACTCCTTCTGACCCTCCTCTGCGCTCATCTTCTTTCTACACTCGTCATCACAGTCCTCTCACAGTCGCAACACCACCACCACCACCATCATCATCATCATCATCATCATCATCATCATCATCATCATCATCATCATCATCATCATCATCATCATCATCATCTTCAGCTTCATCATCATCATCATCATCATCATCAACATCATCATCATCATCATCATCTTCATTATCATCAGGATCAGCACCAGCAGCATCATCATCATCATCAGCATCAGCATCAGCATCATAAGCATCAGCAGCATCAGCATCAGCATCAGCATCATCATCATCAGCATCATCATCATCAGCATCAGCACCAGCATCAGCATCATCATCATCAGCATCATCATCATCAGCATCATCATCATTAGCAGCATAAGCATCATCGTCAGCGTCATCATCAGCAGCATCATCATCGTCATCATACTGTCACACAGCATCCCCCGCGCAGGAGAGAATGAACACCAACCTAACCCTCCTCCACGCCTCTGCTGCATGCAACGTCATCATCATGATTATGAGCATGATCATGATCATCATCACCATCAGCATCGTCACCGTCAGCATCATCAGCATCATCAGCAGCATCATCAGCCTGATCATCATCCTCATGATCATCAGCAGCATCTACAACATCACCATCACCATCACCGTCGTCATCAGCATCGTCATCATCGTCACCACCACCACCACCACCACCATTACCATAATCATCATCCTCGTCATCGTCTCCATCATCATAATCATCATCAACATCATCATCAGCATCATCATCATCGTCGTCATCATCATCATCAGCATCAACAGCATTAGCGCCAGCGTCAGCATCACGCATCATCATAACTAGTACCTATACGACCACCCTTCGGGTGATAAGGAGGTGAGGGGGGGGAGGGACCAACGTCGCACTCGATCGATCTCACTCTCGATATCACGATCGATCTCACCATCGATCTCACATTCGGTCTCACTATCGATCTCACTATCGATCTCACTATCGATCTCCCACTCGGTCTCACTATCGCTTTCACTATCGATATCACAATCGATCTCACTGTCGGTCTCACTATCGATCTCACTAGCGATCTCACAATCGATCTCACATTCGGTCTCACTATCGATTTCACTATGGTTATCACAATCGATCTCACAATTGATCTCACATTCGGTCTCACTATCGATCTCACTATCGATCTCCCATTCGGTCTCACTATCGATTTCACTATCGATATCACACTCGATCTCACATTCGGTCTAACTATCGATCTCACTATCGATCTCACAATCGATCTCACAATCGGTCTCACTATCGATTTCACTATCGATATCACAATCGATCTCACAATCGATCTCACAGTCGGTCTCACTATCGATCGCACTATCGATCTCACAGTCGATCTCACAATCAATCTCACATTCGGTCTCACTATCGCTTTCACTATCGATATCACAATCGATCTCACAATCGATCTCACATTCGGCCTCACGATCGATATCACTATCGATCTCGCAATCGACGTCATCATCATCATCATCATCATCATCATCAACATCAACATCATCAACATCATCATCATCATCGCCATCATCAGCATCATCATCATCACCATTACCATCATCATCATCACCATCATCATCATAATCATCATCATCATCATCATCATCATCATCATCATCATCATCAACATCATGATCGGGACACCGACGGGACACCGACGGGACACCGGCGGGACACCGGCGGGACACCGCGCGCCACCGGCCGCCCGGTGGAGAATCATTTGGTCCGGCCGCGCCTCAGCCACAGAGGACACCACCGGGACACCGGCGGGACACCGCGCGCCACCGGCCGCCCGGTGGAGAATCATTTGGTCCGGCCGCGCCTCAGCCACAGGAGACTTTCCTCTCGCCCGCCCACGCAGCTTCGCCTCGCCCGCACGCACGGCACGCACGAACACGAAACCGAAATCGATTTCCCGGTAGGGGGGCTCTCCGTTCCACTTCGATCTCACCCCCTCACCTCCGATCACCATCTTGTACACTAACACCACACACACACACGCCACACACACACACGCCACACACACGCACACACACACACACACATACAAGCGCGCTCACGCACTCATTCAAGCACTTACTCACGCTCCCTCTAGCCCAGACGCATGTACCCACGCCTACACCCATCTTGAGGAAATCTCGAGCGGGATCCTCGTCTATCCGTTGCGAAGAAGTGTCGAACGGAAGCTCCTCCTTAGTCCCCGCGCCACACCCCCTCAGTTTTTGGAACAGGTGGGGCCATCCAAGTCATGCAACTGTCGTCACTCTGGGGTTCCTGAAGCATGAATCTCGAGGACGTCATGAGCGGGAGCCTCGTCCGCGAGTGACTTGAGGGGAAGTCTCGAGCGGGAGCCCCTCCCTATGCCCCCCCACTTCATATGTTCAGCATGAGTGCCTGTAAAGGTCGTCGCATTTGGGCTCGTGAGGCTTGAATCCGAACGACATCTCGAGCGTGGACCTCGTCTCTGAGTGAATTGAACAGCAGGCTCGACCGCCCCCCCGCCCCCCCCCCGCTGCATCGTTTTGATCAGAGGGGGTCATCAAATCATGTAGTTGTCGTAGTATTTGGGCTCCTGCGATCTGAATGCCGAGGCCGCCTCAGGAGGGAGCCTCGTCTGCGGCTGAGCTGCGGGAATGTCCTATGGGGTCACTGCTTCAATTGGTCAACCCGAAAAATATCCAAACGCTGTTAACTGCCGTCACGTTTGGGATCGTGTGGCTTGAATATGGATGAAGTCTCGAGCGGTAACCTTGCCTGTGAACGTAGCGCGGCTCAATCTCAAACAGAAGCATCCCCCCGTCGGCCTGCTCTGATTTGATCGCCGAGAGACATTGAGGCGAGTGAACGGCTTGCTGCGAGCACAAGCGAAGGAGGAGTGAGGAGGCACGATAGGGGACAAGAAGAAGAGGAGGATAAGGAGCAAGGTATGCGAACGCGGAGGCGAAGGAGCGGGACGAGCAGGGGGAGGCAGGATGAGAGGAGGAAGCAAGAGAGGAGTAAAGGAGGCAGGCAGGATGAGGAGGGGAAGAACGGCACAGGAGGCTGAGGAAGGCAGGAGGAAGGGGGAGGGGGGGGGAAGGCAAGATGAGAATGTGGCTAGACGCCCGTCAGGATAGAATGCGGCTAGAAGCCCCAACGACCCAGATCGCGAACTACATCCCGACGTAAGCACACCACCCTGTCTAGTCGCCGACACGCGGCTGGAGGAGGAGGAGAAGAGCCTCGCCGCCCCAGAGGGCCTGGGAGAGCGAGTCCGCCCCCTCGGGGGTCGCCACTGCATGCAGGGAGTAGCTCACCACCTCGGGAACTGACGGCGCCGTCGTCGTCGGCGTCGTCGTCGGCGTCGACGTCGGCGTCGGCGTCGTCGGCGTCGTCGTCGTCGTCCCCACACAAGCAAGCGCGCGGCCTCTGCACAGGCGCGGGGCGTGGGCCATCCCCCGACGGGCGAGATCATCTCGCTACTGATCGAGTGAGGCTCGCTCTCCGAGCTGTTTCATACCCCCCCACCCCCGCCCGCGCCCCCCCCTTCCCCCTCCTCTCGCCTCGCTGGACATCCTGGGGGGCCAACAAGATGCCGATGCCGCCGGTCCCTGGACCTCGCCACTTCTAAAGGTTGCGATCTGGCTGGGATCCCGAGGCGAATTCAGCCGTGGCGACGGGAGAAGGGCAACAGGATACTGCGTTATGCTATTTCTGGTAACGGCCGTTGCAAGGAGAGGGGTAACCGCAACGCTTGGGTGGGGTGGGGCACGTCGGGGCGTTCTGTGCGCTGCGATCGCCGTCGTTTGCGAGAGGGCACCAGCAAGCGTAGGGGGGGGGTTGGTTCAAAACCTCACGTACATACGAGCCTTACTGTTACCAGAGGGGGCTGTGGCCTGGGTAATCAACGAGCGTCACGCGCCAAAGGATACAAAAAAACACTCGGCGT